TATAGTGTAAGATGTTGGTCTATGCCTAGTTTCTACCACACTCTTTTCCAGGTTTCCCAGCAGTTTTTGTTAAATGGTGAGCTGTTATCACAGTGAGTCTTTGGGTTTATCAAACAGCAGATTACTGTAGTTGTTGACTATTGTGTCTTATGTTTCTAACCTATTCCACTAATCCACCATTGTATTTCTTAGCCAGTACCAAGTAGTTTTGATGATTGCTGCTTTATAATACAGTTTTAGATCTGGTACAGCTAGGCCACCTTCCCTTGCATTTCTTTTTATTAATTCCCTTGATATTCTGGACCTTTTGTTCTTCCAGATGTCTACTTGACTATGTTAGTTCTATCCCCCCACCCTAGGAAACTTCTCAGTGCCCCCCAGACAACTTTCTAGTGTTATAAGTTGCAGAAAAGGTGATATGCTGCAATACTAAGAGGAAATTCCTTACTTGGAGCACCCTACACCAATGAAATGAGAGGTTTGATTTAAAAACCAGTAAGACATGGGGCAGTTAGGTGGTGCAGTGGATAGAGCACCAGCCAGTCAGGAGACCTGAGTTCAAATCTTGCCTCAGAAACTTGACACTTACTAGTTGTGTGACCCTGGGCAAGTCACTTAACCCTGATTGCCTTACCAAAAAGCAAAAAAACAAACAAACAAACCCAACAAGATAAAAATAAATACAACTGTCCTACCCCCTACAAAGTTTTCTCTTTTTAAGCTGAATATTCTCAGAGCCTTCAAATGATTCTCATATTGTATAACTTTTATTTTCTTTAACATTTATCACAGCTAAATGTTGTGGTAGCCAAAAAAGCTAACATGATTTTCAGTTTCACTAAGAGACGTCATGACAAGGCACAATAATAATTTTGATGTACTTTGCACTGTCAAACATTGTTTCAGTATTGTATTCCACTTTGGGTACCATATTTTAGGATTGATATTGAGCAATTGGAGTGCCTTGTGAGGAGTATTATTGAAGGTGATGCCATTGAGAATTGGTTTAAGGATTTGGAGTAAGTAGCCTAGAGAAAATAAAACTTAGGGTGAACATGATACAAGTTATCAAGTATCTGAAGAGCTATCATGTGGGAAAAGAATTACACTTTTGCTGTTTGGCATCAAAAGTTAGGGCAATGAATAGAGTTTTCAGAGAGGCAGATATTGACTTGATGTATGTTAATATTTCTTAACTATTAGAGCTATCCAAAAGTGGAACAGGCTGCTGCAGGAGGTTTATCAAGACATCATTGAAAGTCTTCAAATTCATGTTAAATTGGTTCCCTGAGGTATAATAGAGATGATTTCTTTTCAGGAATGAGTTAGACCATGACCTCAGAGATCACTCCTAACTCTAAGATTTTATGATATTTTTTGAATTCAACAAAGACTTGTTACGTATCATATATACATATATGTATGTCTCTCTATAGATAGATAGATATACATGTACATACATACATAAGATACCATGTGCTGTACCTGGAGGTACAAAGATGAAAAAAGAATTTAAAAAGTCCTTGCTTTTATCAAGTTAATAATCTAAAGGAATATTATAAGTTAACAATTTTGATACAAGACATTGCTATAATAAGGTCAAAGGAAAACTCCATGAAAGCTTCATGGAGGAGGTAGCACCTAAAGTAAATATTGAAAAAAGAGCAAGATTTTACCAGCTGGGGATGAAGGAGTACCTAACTGGCATGGAAAACAGCCTGTAATCAGGTGAATCCTACGAGAAAACAATTTAAAATCAGGGGCAGCTAGGTAGAGCATTGGTAGAGCATCAGCCCCCGACTCAGGAGGACCTGAGTTTAAATCTGGCCTCAGACACATAACACTTACTAGCTGTGTGACTCTGGGCAAGTTGCTAAACCCTGTTTGTCTCTCAAAAAAAACCCCAAAACAAACAAACAAACAAAACTTGAAAAACCAATTAGAGATCTTATAGTGAAGTAAATACTAGGATTAGAGTTAGGAAGCCTTGATTTTGAATCCTGCTCAAATCTGTATTCACTAGTTGTATGACCATAGACTAGTCCAGGGGTGGGCAACTTGCCTGGTGTGGCCTTTTGACTGAGTCCGAGTTTTGCAGAACAAATCTTTTATTAACAAAGGTTTGTTTTGTGAAGTTTGGTTTCAGTCAGAGGGCCTCACTTAAGGACCTAGAGGCCACATGCAGCCTCAGGGCGGCAGGTTCCCTATTCCTGGACTAGTTGCTAAGCTTCTTTGGGATTCAGTTTCCTTTTTTATGGAATATGGATCATACAATTCTGTCATCCGTTGTACCACCTATTTATCTTTCCTTTTTTGTGGGATTGTTGAGATGTTGAGCTAACATACAATAAAGTTTTTTTTAAATTGCAAACAGAAATTATCCTTAAACAGCTAGCAGTCCAATTTGGAGAAGTATAGGAATGTATAATGCATGACAGGGACTAATGTAAAATAAGGCTGAAGCACCAGATTGTGGAGAGCTTTGTTTTTCTTCTGTGGAAGGTCATTAAACTTTTTAAGCCCGGAAAGAGACATGGTCAGACTAACAGTACTTCTGGACACATTTTATCTTATCAGTGTCCCCCTTAAATGTGGATACAGTATTCCAGATAGGGTCCAATCAAAACATAGAATAGTAAGATTAGTATTTTCCTGTCTCTCTCTTTTTTTTTAACTGTAGTACTATTGATCCAGCCCAAGATCCACTAAAGTTTTTTTGGTTGTATTTTATAGTATTATTGTACAGCAAAACTTTTAAGGTCTTTAACATGAACTATTTTCTAACCACATCTCCCTTATATTTTCTATTGTAATTTATTGAACCTAAGTGTAGATTTTTACATTTCACTGATAAAAAATGTTGAACAAAACTGGGTCAAGGAAAGAGCCATCTGGCACTTTTTTGAAGACTTTTCTCCAGGTTCATATTGTTCTATCAGTCAAGGCTCCTTAGAGTCTCGCTGGCCAACAAATTCAAAATTCTGCGAGGTGCAGTACCATTGATATTCAGTTCTCCATCTTGTGTACTAGGATATTGTGAGAAACTTAGTGAAATGCTTTGTAGAAATCAAATTATATGCCATATTTGAAAAATTCCTCTTATTTTTTGACATAACTAGCATGCCCCTCAAAACATTCAGTGAGGATAAGCCTGGAATGACTTATTCTTGTTTGTTTTTTGTTGTTTTAGGCAATGGGGTTAAGTGACTTGCCCAGGGTCACACAGCTAGTAAGTGTTATGTGCCTGAAGCTGGATTTGAACTCAGGTCCTCCTGGATCCAGGGCCAGTGCTCTATCCACTGCGCCTGGAATGACTTATTCTTAATGAACATATGCTCACTTATAGTTAGCACGTGTTACTGCTTTTAGTATTCACAAGCAGACTTTTAAATACAAATAATCAATTGTAGAATTTTATTGAAAACAATAGAAACATCTTCCCAGTTTTTTGAAGGGATAAAATTTTGCATTAGGTTTGCATTTTTACAAGAGGTTTTCTTTTTGGATAGAGGCATGAAATATTTTGAAGTATTTTTTCTAATTAAAAATCTGTATGTAAATATTAATAAGTCAGCTTCATCTCTTTAGCATTGAAACAATTTTGACAGACCAAATCTGAGAGGTAGCAAGACATAATGGATAGAGCCAGGAAGATTTGGGCACAATCACTGTCCTGACAATTACAGCAATGTGACTGTGGGCAAATCATTTTAATATCACAGATCTTCAGTTTCCTCTTCTGTAAATGAGAATAATAGCCTGATAATGTTGTGTTAAGGCTCAAATGGGATGAAATATACAAGGTGCTTTGTAAACTTTAAAATAAATATAAATGTCAAAATTATTATAAAAACAATATCATTATAAAGTATATACTTTTGAAAAGTTTTATCATTATGAAAAATAATGGTTCCAAATAGATCACTCTACGTAAAAAGTACCTGCAAAGTTCTGCAGCCAAGGCAACATTAACAACAACAACCACACAAGAACAACAACAAATGTTTGGCAATCAGTATACGTGGTAAAGTTTGCTGCTGTTGCCTTTTAGTATGTGAATTGTCTGGAATAATTACATGTCATATGTTTTGCCTATATTTCAAATTAAATAATGTATGTAAAACTCTTTGTAACTATGCAGCACAATATAAATGAATTGCCATCATTATGCACTTGAGGCAGAGAGGTGGTGCTGTGGGTAGTGTCCATGCCCTGTTATCAGGAAGACATAACTTCAAACACAGTCTTAGACATTGACTAGCTGTGTGGTCCTGGGCAAGTCACCTAACCTCTGTTTGCCTCAGCTTCCTCAACCTCTACCTTGCAGGGTTGTTGTGAATGAATGAGATAATAATATTTGTGAAATACTTAGCACAGTACCTGGCACATAGTAAGTGCTATATAAATGCTTCTTCATCCCCCACCCAACACACACCCTTCATGAATAACTTAGCTCATGTATCTGCCTCTGAGTTGAACAACTTGGTTTAAAACATTAGTCAACCATTTCTGCTAAAATAATTTGGTTGGAAACTGGAGATGTATAGGATGAATAATATGTCTTTTAGGAAAACTGTATGCAAACTCTCTCATTCCAATATATAAATCATCTATCATTCTACTAATGAACGAACTCAAATTTTATTCATTTTTGTTTGTAGTGTTGCTTTACATGTCTTATATATACTTATATATTGAATTTCTTGTTTGTTCTCTATTTTATTCTACTAAGGGCTTTACTAAAGATATGATAGCTTTAAGTAGGCAGTAAGTTCCTTTCCTTTTAGGAATTTATCTAACTCCTAATCAATATGTTTAATTTGATGTTAGCAAAAAAATAACTGCCACCAAATGACTGTCAATGAGTTTGCAAAATTAACGACTGTAATAATAGAGACTGAAAAGATGATTACTTTCCTGAAAGTAATTTCCATGCTTGTTTTCTGATCCTACAGTAGGATAGGTTCCCAAACTAACTGATGTTGTCATTATTGGTACAGCGGAGTGTGAGGAGAAGATTTACAGTCCAAATGGAGTTATTACCAGTCCCAACTGGCCAGACAAGTATCCAAGTAGGAAGGAATGCACGTGGGAAATCAGTACTACTCCTGGACACCGAGTTAAACTAGTGAGTAACCTCAACCTGCTCCTTCTTTCTAAGTATATCAGATGGATGTTCGTTTCATAGTTGACACAAGAAAATTAATTCAGGTGGATGGGAAACATTTTTATCATGCTGACCTGTGTTCATGAAAATGTCACTGAGGTCCTAAGTTAAGATGATAACAATCACTGAGTTTTGTCCAAACATCATGTTGTCTCCAGAAATATTTTATCCTCATTTAAAAAAAATGTATTGAGGATGCAAAATTATATGCTTTACTGTAGCAGTCATAGGAAAATTTTATATTAAATATAGCAGGCAAGAAATTTAAACAGAGAAAATAAGTAAATGTTGAGAGATTAAATGATCTTCTTACTGATAATCTCTGAATGCAATAGACCTAGAAAGATAATACTTATGCTATTAGTTTAAGGAATAGAAGGAGGGGCAGAGCCAAGATGATGGAGTAAAAACAGTGACTTGCTTGACCTCTCCCCCAAAGCCCTCCAAATACCTGTAAAAAATGGCTCTTAACAAATTATAGAGCAGCAGAACCCACAAAAGGACAGAGTGAAACAAATTTCCAGCCCAAGACAACCTGGATGTTTGATTGGAAAGGTCTATCCTGCTGGGCTGGAAGAGGAACGTAATTCGGTGTGGCCATGCAGGCAAAGACCAGGCCTCAGTGAACACAGAGCATGCGTCAGAGGACTGAATCACAGGCAACTGTTGCAGCTTCCAGACTTCTCAACCCACAAATGCCAAAGACGACTTAGAGGGTCAGTAGGAAAGGTCTGCGACCACAGTGAGAAAGAAGCTCGGTCCCAGCCCCAATCCCAGTGTATCCCCTGGGCGGCAGCTGCTTCTTGAGCTGAGAGGCTTATCAGTGGGGGATTGCAGGGATCTCTTTGCTGATGCTGAGGCAGGATTCTCTTGCTTTGCTTGTGCTTGGATCTGGCTCACAGCTAGTAGTGGTGGTCCTAGGGCAAGAAAGAGGGGTAGTGTGGTCGATGGAGCTTGTAGTGACTGTGAAGAGGAAATCCTCCTCATAGTTCCAAGCCAGAAAAGAGTACTTGTGGTCACTCATAGACCAGAAAGGAGTAAACACGTCGCCCCTTATCATACCACCTTGGAAGAACTGAAAATTTACAGGTTCTTAGAAGTATCTTTGAAAACAGCTGCACAAAACCCCCAAAGCTTAAGACAGTACATTCTCCACACTGGAAGCAGACCCCTGCTTTAACAAAGAGTTTAAAACTCAAGTAATTGGCTGAGATCATGAGCATTGTGCAAAAAAAAAAGTCAGAATCTTTCTTTGGTGACAAAGAAGATCAAAACATACAACCAGAAGAAGACAACAAAGTTAAAGCTCCTACATCCAAAGCCTCCAAGAAAAATATGAATCAAGCTCAGGCCATGGAAGAGCTCAAAAAAGGATTTTGAGAAGGAAGTAAGAGAAGTAGAGGAAAAACTGGAAAGAGAAATGAGAATGATGCAAGAATATCATGAAAAACAAGTCAATAGCTTGCTAAAGGAGACCCAAAAAATATTGAAGAAAATAAGACCTTAAAAAATAGAAATGGTCCCAAATGGCAAAAGAGGTCCAAAAAGCGAATGGGGAGAAGAATGCCTTAAAAAGGAGAATTGGCCAGGTAGAAAAGGAAGTCCAAAAGCTCACTGAAGAAAATACTCCTTAAAAATTAGAGTGGAGCAAATGGAAGCTAGTGACTTGATGAGAAATCAAGACATTGTAAAACAAAACCAAAAGAATGAAAAAATAGAAGAAAATGTGAAGTATCTCATTGGAAAAACAACTGACCTGGAAAATAGATTTAGGAGAGATAATTTAAAAATTATTAGACTACCTGAAAGCCATCATCAAAAAAGAGCCTAGATATCATCTTTCAAGAAATTATCAAGGAAAACTGCCCTGATATTCTTGAACCAGAGGGTAAAAATAGAAGTGGAAAGAATCCACTTGATCACCTAAAAAAGATCCCCAAAGGAAAACTCCTAGGAATATTGTAGCTAAATTCTAGAGTTCCCAGGTCAAGGAGAAAATATTACAAGCAGGCAGAAAGAAACAATTCAACTATTGTGGAAACATTATCAGGGTAACACAAGATTTAGCAGCTTCTACATTAAGGGACTGCAGGGCTTTGAATATAATATTCTGGAGAGCAAAGTAGATAGGATTATAGCCAAGAATCACCTACCCAACAAAACTGAATATAATCCTTCAGGGGAAAAAATGGAAAATCAGTAAAATAGAGGACTTTCAAGCATTCTTAATGAAAATACCGGAGCTGAATAGAAAAATTTGACTTTCAAATACAAGACTCAAGAGAAATATGAAGAGGTGAACAGGAAAGAGAAATCATAAGGGACTCATTAAGGTTGAACTACTTACATTCCTACATGGAAATATGATATTTGTAACTCATGAGACCTTTGTCAGTATTAAGGTAGTTGGAGGAAAAAAATATAGATAGATAGATAGATAGCTGATAGATAGATAGATAGATAGCTAGATAGATAGATAGATAGACAGACAGACGGAGGTCACAGGGTGAGTTGAAGATGAAAGGGTGATATCTGGAGAATAAAATTAAGGGGTGAGAGAGGATTATACTGGGAGGAGAATGGGAGGGGTAGAATGGGGTAAATTATCTCACATAAAACAGACAAGAAAAGGCTTTTTCAGTGGAGGGGAAGTGGGGGAAGGTGAGAAGGAATGAGTGAATCTTATTCTTGTTGGATTTGGCTTAAGGAGGGAATACCATACACACTCAATTGGGTATGGAAATCTGTCTTACCCTACAGGAAAATATGCGAGAAGGGGATAAGAGAGCAGGGGTATGATAAAGGGGAGAGCACATTGGGGGAGGGGGTAATTGGAAGCAAACATTTCTGAGGAGGGACAGGGTCAAAAGAGAGAATAGGATAAATGGGGAGCTGGATAGGATGAAGGGAAATATAGTTAGTTTTCCACAACATAACTACTATGTAAGTGTTTTACGTGACTACATATGTATAACCTTTATTGAGTTGCTTGCCTTCTCAATGAGGGTGGAGTGAAGAGAGAGGAAGGGAGAGAATTTGGAACCCAAGGGGTATAGAAATCTGTTTTGCCCTACAGGAAAATCGAAGGGGAAGGGAATAAGAGAAGGGGGTGGTGATAGAAGGGAGGGCAGATTAGGGGAAGAGATGTTCAGAATGCACGCTGTGTTGAGATAGGGGGAGGGATGAGATGAGGAGAAAATTTGGAACTCTAAATCTTCTGGAAGTGAATGTTGAAAACTAAAAATAAATTAATAAATTTTTAAAAAAAGAAAAAAAAATTAAGGAGTAGTGAGTAAATAGTGCTTGTCACATTCTGTAGAAAAAGGCCGATTGAAAGGTTGACACTTACTAAACTGACACTTACTACCTGTGTGATTTTGGTTAAGTCAGTTAAGCTATCTGAGCCTTACTATCCATATACAAACATGGAAATACACACACACATACTGGATTTGGCTTATACCCACGCGCACACAGAAACACACACACAAAACTATGAGTGACCTAGAAGTTCCCTTCCATTGCTAAATCAGTGATTCAGTGGTTCCATGAGCCTGTAATATATGTACACATATATACGCATATATACCTATACACATATGTCTGAATGCATGTGTATGTGTGTGTGTACATATGTGTGTATGTTGGAGGAGCTGGAATGGATGATCTGGAAGTTCAAATTCCCTTCCATTGCTAGATCTGTGAACCAGTAGTTCCACGAGCCTATTACTAAGTCTTTCTCTTCTAGTCAGACCACAACTGAAGCATTGTATTTACTGGTGGGAACATGAGAGTTGCCTTTCAGTATTTCCAGAAGTTCATAGAGTAAGGTTCTAAAAAGGATAGTATTTCATTTGATCACTTTCTACCTGACCATCATCAGCAGATAATGCTTAATTTCATTTCTTAAGTATAATTAGGGCCCTTTACCTAACTGGACAGGTAAGGAGGAGTACAAGGTCAAAGACAGCCAACAGGTAGACAAGGACCTCTGCTGTCATTTTTTGTAGAGTATCTACAAAATGATGTGTATTTTAATTTTTCTTTTATTGAATGGAGATCATTTCCCCCTAGATTAGCACATCCTAATATTTGAAATAGGAAATTTCCCTGGAAGACATAAGTTTTTGCATGGATCATTTTATAGAGAAATTTATTTGAAAGTTGCTGACTATAGTACCATTGTCAGTTGTCTTTTCATACGATAGTAACATGGCCACAAAGATCATGAATCTTTTTTTCTGTTGTGCCCACACTTAAGTAGTTAACTTATTAATTTGTTTTATTGGGAAGGTTATTTCCAAATCATAAAGCATTGATAATCACTTATATTTAATAATGCTAATTTAATTTACAATTCCATGGGCCCTGTGTCGGTGCAATCTCAGGGAGAGTGTAAATATTTTAACTCCTCAATGTGAATATCAAAATTTAGGCCCAATATGGGTTATCCAAAGTAATATAGAAAGGGAGAATCAGTAGTGGATAACTTTTTACAATTTTCCACATGGTACTGTTGCAGAGAGTGACAGACCCAGGGCCAGGAAAACTTGAGTTCAATCTTGCCTCAGCTGTGTGGCCATGGGAAAGTCACTTAACTTATGTGAGTGTCCATTTTCTTATCTGTAAAAATAAGAAAAATAATATCTATGATACCTACCTCACAAACATTCTGCAGAGCTCAAATGAAATTATACATGTGTACACACACATATACACATATGTACATATATACTTATATATCTACCTGTATGTATAAAATATATATGTAACTTCATTTGTGTATGTATCATGTGGTTATGTCTATATATACATATATATACATATGCATATATATATGCATATATATAGAAAATATGTGTGTGCATTTATGTAGCACTTTGCAAACTTTAAAGCACTATATATTTGATACTATTTCCATATGATAAAGTGAATTTTATGGCTAAAATCCAACACCTACT